TGAAACAGAAGATGGCAGCACTGCATGTACAAGGATGCCAGCTGCCGTTAAACCCCGAAGAAGAAGTAGCTCTGTCCCAGAATTCATAGCGCAGCCCAGCTCAGTTTCCAACAATGGCGGCAGCTAGTTAGTTTTAATATTACTCTTATTATTCTTTCTGGGTCACAAAATAAACATTTAACATATTTTCAGGCGAGAATGTAGCTGTGTAAACCTCAAATATCTGCTCAGTTTATCAAGACACCACATATTTTCAAAAGCGCTCCGACGTTTTCGGAGACGTCTGTTACCCACTAGCTCGATAGCTAGCCGGGGCTTAGGCTCACTAGAGCCGGTGAGAACACCGGACTCCCTGGCAAATCGTTTTCAAACCCACCGCCGTCTTTCGCTACTCAGGTTAAACATGATATATAAGTCACTTAGATAACTTAAAAATGTTATTGTTTGGCTTTTTTTTTTTGTATTTTATTTGTTCCTGATAAATCGGTTTGGCTGAGATTAAAGTTATAGTTTTTACACAGCTGAATAAACCTCAAGCAGATTAAACTCCATCGAAACAATCTGCAAATTTCATTAAAATTTAATAAACTATCATCTTGTCTTTATTTTTAGTTAGCACATACCTTAAACACTTAAAGCTGTAAGCTAATGATAGTTATATAAGAGCAGATGCATGCTGGTGCAATAAGCTTACGTACTCCAATGGATGCATGATCTGATTAGTCGACTAATCGCAAAAATAATCTGGTGACTAGTCGACTATCAAAATAATCGTTTGTGGCAGCCCTAGAAGTGAGTGAGGGTGGCCTCTGTCTATGCACCTACCCCTGGAATAACCCAGAAACTGTTCTACTGATCTTCAAACCACATGTTTTTTGACACACACTGAGGTATCAGAACTCGTCATTATAAGTACAAGGGAGCCTGTTTATTACTCTGAAGGCAAAGCAGGCACTCAGGAAGCTACGGAGCCCCGCAGGCAGGGAGAAAAAATGGGAGAAAAAAAAAATTAAGACTGACTTTTGCGAGATCTCCAAAACAAACTCGGGATCTCGCAAAACTTTTGGATCTCGCAAACAAACTCGGGTCTCGCAAAAGTTGAATTCCAACAATGGCGGCAGCTACTTAGTTGTAATATTACTCTTTCTGGGTCACAAAATACACTTTTAAGATATTTTGAGGCGTGAATGTAGTCTGTGTAAACGTCAGATACCTGCTCGGTTTACAAGACATCACATATTTGCAAAAGTGCTCCCACTAGCTCGAAGCTAACGGGAGGTCGAGACCTACTACAGCCGGAGGAACACCGCTTTCCCGGCACATCGTACCTCGACCTCCCGGTCGGCTTCGAGCTGCGGCCTCCGAAGAATGCGCTAAAACTTTTGCGAGATCTCGCAATACTTTTGCGAGATCCCGAGTTTGTTTTGCGAGATCTCGCAAAAGTCCGTCTTAATTATTTTTTTTTTCTCCCTAATTTTTTTTTTCTCCCTAATTTTTTTTTTCTCCCATGTCCCCTGCGGGGCTCCGTAGGAAGCAGTTTGGAACTGTGAGAGTAAAATTATTAAGCTTGGGTGTGTTAATAATGGTAATTGTTATCGCACTGAAATTATTTAGTTAGCATACTTGTCAC